TCTCTCATCCTCCCCGTTTTCCCTCTGTGTCCTTCCTTCCTCCCTCCCTCCCTGTCCTTCCTTCCTACCTCCCTCCCTGTCCTTCCTTCCTCCCTCCCTCCCTTCCTCCCTGTCCTTCCATCTCTCCTCCCTTCCTCCCTGTCCTTCCTTCTCTCCTCCCTCCCTCCTTGTCTTTCCTTCTCTCCCCCCTCCCTCCCCCCTTTCTCAGTCTTTCTTTTCTCCCTTTCAATCTTTTCAGTCTTTTACAGATGCCTCCTTCCCTCATACCCAAGTTGTGAACATGTGAAGGAGGGGAACCCTTTGCTTCTCCCCTGACTCCTCTCAAAGGAGTAGGTAGAGGTTAACCAAACAGAGGCATATAGTGCAAGGGCCTCAGGACTCATACTCATAGAAACACAACACTAGCAACCAAGTCCCCGGGACAATGCCACAACATGGCTTCACCTTGCACCTCCCCTTGTGGTGAAACCTGCTGTGTTGCTTCTGCTTCTTTTGACTAGAGATAACTGCAGCTCCTGAAACAGAAGGATAGCAGTGGTGACTTATTCCTTTCTCCTTCAGTGGAGATTCTCAATCATCCAGGTCATGGTTGTCCCAAATTGAGTAAGCTTCTTACATGAGAAGCGAAACATTTTCAAGGGGAAAAAAAAACAACCCAAATCCAGTTGCCTTTTAGGGAAAGCACCTTTGGAACTCTCTTTCCTTCCTTTGCCATCCAGACCTTCTCCAGTTGGGGCACCCAGTCAGAGATCCAGCGACAATTTAACTCACCCTTCAGATATCTTCTGAAGTTGGCTTCTCTGAGCTGAGTGGGAAAATTGCATCTGCCTTCGTGTTTATACTCTTTGTCAACCTGATCCTATCTTTTCTTGGACTGAAAAGTTGCTGGAGTTTCAGTTTTACAAAATTATGAATAAAAATAGACAATACAACATCTAGACTCTTGTATATTGGCACAGCAATAAATTTATTGTGAAATCAATTCCTTTAAAAAAATAATGGATTGGTGTCTATGATAACCAGCGCTGAACTTACACTTTTAATGGTTTATTTAAACATTGAATGTAGCAGTATATGTCTTTATCTTATAGATTTAATAGCTAGTGTATAGTTATACTTTGGATTGTTTAATTTCTATTACATATTGCCTCCGATCCTGCTCATAAATTTCCACTAAATAGATTTATATTACGGCCTAGTTTATTTATTTGTTATTACGGTTCATCGCAGTCAGCCAGATGTTTAGACTGGATTTGGCATTTTTATCCAGCTATTAATTATTATTTTATACTTTCTTTTTTATCTTTACATAAGTTAAGACAGGTACATGCCTAATATTCCTGCCAACCACAATAGCAACCTTTTCAAGATACTGAAAAGACTGTTTTCTTATCTTTTATTACATTTCAGACTTATTAAAAAAGGAATGTTTAAAGGAATTTTAGAGACGGAAGAAAAAGTGGAGAATTACCAGCGGAAGGAAATAGTTATGAATGTTCTCTCCATGTCCCCATTTATAGTTGTTGCCATACAATCCCTTGTTATTTTTAAGCAGCAAACCCAGTTCAAATATTTAAATACCCTGTCCCAATACCCTATACCAGGGATTCCCAACCTTGGCAACTTTAAGACCTCTGGACTTCAACTCCCAGAATTCCTCAGCCAGCTATGCTAGATGAGGCATTTTGAGTGTTGAAGTCCATAAGTCTAAAAGTTGCCAAGGTTGGACACCCCTGCCAATAGCATTAACAGTTGGTTTCATTTGTGTGAGGGGAAGAGAAAGTGGATGCATTCATTTACAAGTTCTCAAAATTAATCAGGAATTACTGATGGATTATATTTTATAATGATTTTCTACTTCAACTCTTCAAAATCTCCACTAAACAAAAAGTGGTTTAACATTATTTGTTTATTTATTTCATTTCTCAGCAAATGATCTCTCTCTCTCTCTCTCTCTCTCTCTCTCTCTCTCTCTCACACACACACACACACACACACACACACACACACACACACACACACACAGAAAGAGAGAGAGAGATATGAGAATGAGAATGTAATGGTTATAGTTTTCATTTTTTAATATTTGTATTCATAGTTTCTTTGAGCTGCAGAACCTTTTCTCAGGTGGAAGTGCATCTTTTGGATCTAAGTTCAATCTTTTTATAGCAGTGGCATATGAGATTAGATTTTGACAGGGCTACAGATCCCAATCTCCAGTAGGAATGGGGTAAAGAGAATGGAAAAAATAAAGCAGTATTCTGTTGATCGTCTTCACATACTGCATTATCTCAACACTACGATAAAAAGTAGGTTAAAAACATATTGCAAATGTACAATTTTGGAAAGATGATTATTAACAATAATTTGTTTTTTGAGTGAAATTGGAAGTTGCTTTTTCTGAAAAGGTTATATTCTAAAATTCAGATGAGGTAAGTAGCAATTATTCATACCAGGTAAGGAGGGAAGCAAAAATACCCTAATAAAAGTGAATAACAGTGCGTTATAGTTAATATGTATTTCAATTAACTGATTGCCTAAAATGATTAGAAAGATTACTATGTATTCCCTTATGGTGATATATTGCTTTTAGCTTTCTCACTTAGTGTAACTTCAGCCTTATTTATTCTGAAAAGTATTTCTTGTATTCAGACAATCCATTGCAAGTTCTGGATAGAGAAATGTTCTTATGGTTGCTAGTAAATATAGCAGTTTTCCACTACCTCTGCTATTGTGATTGTTGTGTTTTTGCCTGTGTCTTAACAGGATGGAGTCAGCTTGCTGCTATGCATTGTGTTATGCTACCTGACCTGTTGGGCCTGGATCAATTTAGACCACCTCTCCTTGAAATGTTGGCTCGTAGATGGCAAGATCGATGCTTGGAGGTACAGTTTTTTATTGAAGATGGCAGTTAGGGAAAAATGAATCTCTTGGCCAGCACAGGGAATACTATTTTTACACTGGATATATTGTTCCAAGAAAAGGGTACTATAATTCTGGTTTAAAGGTTGGATTTATATATATGGTATATGCAATTCAATTTGCAGGTCAGTTTTGTAAAATGGAGAGTTAACATCCCTGTGTGGCAATCGTATATTCTGGTTAAATGGGAAAATAGACTTCAGAGAAGAAGGCACAGTGGATTTTTTTCCCAGCCACTAGATGTCACCGTTGTTCCATCAAAATATGTGGAAGTTTTAGTCATAAAATGAAAGGTCCTGTTTCCATCAACTACACACAGCTTCCAGTATTTGAATTAAACCACAGCTAGTTTACTGTTCATGCATCAGCAGTTCAATAACTGCTGCAAATTTATTTTTAATACTTTTCAATACTATGCTTAATTTTAAAAGTAAGATGGAAGGAGGCACGTCTATAGAGAACGGAACACTTTAATATCACTGTGCAGGAAATTGGCCTGATTGTACATCCATGAAATGTTGCATTTAAGGGTCACTGATGCTCTCTGAGTTTGATCGTTTTCTTGCAGATGTTTCATTATTCAAATTAGGTAGCGTCATCAGTTGCACTGATGACGTTAGCTAGTTTGGTAATGAAATGTCTGCAAAAAAACAACCAAGCTCAGAAGAGCACCAAGGATCCCTCGTTTCAACCCTGGGTTAAAAATATTATCTTCTATGTGGCTTTTAATTCAAATTTCCCCCCCCTCTCAGAAATATTTTAAAATTTGAAATATTTTAAAATTATTTAAGCACCTAATAGTGACAGAGAGAAATTAGATAAATAGATAGATAGATA